TGTGGGGGGGCGAAGTAGTGGCGGAAGAACATCGTGTTGGGTGCACCCCGGCGACGCCCTCGCAGAGGTGGGCGAAGAAGGCCATGCACGCCATGTCATTCGGCGTAAAATCCAAAAGATGGAAGCCGTAGGTGTGCATGATATCGTTGAAGAAGTCGGAGAAAGAGGGGCAGAGCCCGCAGGAGAAGTAAACGACGAAGAAAGGGTATTTATCTGACCCGAGCTTGGCGAAGCAAGCAGGAATGATTTTCATGGCAGGATGCCTCGACGTCTCTCTCCCCCACAAGGGCTTGAATTTCTCCCTGAGGGTGAGCGCGTCGACCGTCGAGACGAAGAGGGCGTGCTTCTTCTGCAACTTCACCAGCTCGCTCTCCGGCACCTCCTTCTCCTCGACGGCCTTGACTGCTCCCTTGCCCTTGCTTGCCTTGGGCGCCATGGCGGCTGAGAAGAGGCGAGGGATCAAGAAGCAACGAAAGCATGACGGTGGCAAGCAGAGGCGTGAGGCTCTGGTTTGCGCTCGAGGAAGGAGAACGGGACGACGGTTCCTAGATTGGGAAGGGCGTAGAGGGTAAATGAGTGACGCCCTGCGGATTCCTCTTTTTATGCGGAAGACAACTGGCGAGAAGACCGTGGAAGTTAAATCTCTGCCACGCGTGCCCGCGCACTGCTTTGGGCCTGTCCCAACTACGCCTTGCGCTTATGTATGGCCCAGAACCGGGGGCTCCTGTCGGTGTACAAAAGTATGGGCTCTTCTATACACCTTACTTGTGCACGGGCAGTCGTAGCCACACCTGCGGCAAGGCTTGGCAGGGCAGAAGAAGGCAAAACACAAGACTACCAAGACAGACACTCAAGACAATGAACAAAGAGCAGAGGACAAACTGGACCTCCCCCATCAACATCCTTACTGGGCGGCTCACGTAGCCCCGGCAAGCTCCTTGCCGGGGCGACCTGCGAAGCACCAGCAAGGCCATCACCCTTGAGGCTGAGAGCTTTGACACCATCGACAACGTCAAGGCCAAGACTTGGGAACGCATGCATAGTAGCATGCAGATCCTTGTGAAGACTGATGGCCTGCAGGCCCACATGAGACCAGAAGATGAAGCCCCCCGGCAAGACCCTTGCCGGGGACGACCGCAAGGCCCCCGACAAGCCTTGCCGGGGACGATTGCGGGGCCACAGCCAGGCCCTCACCCGACAAGGATTTGTCACCTCACCACCACTTCAACTAAGCTGGCGCCTGTGTGGCGGCATGCAGATCTTCGTCGAGGCTCTACCACCGTGTCAACACAGCAGCTAGTTGGCCAGCGTGGCACTGCATGCCTCGTCAACCTGGACGCGTGTCAAGGCAAGGAAGGGCGGCGACGGACGGGACGGCTTCTGTTGCTGTCTCCGATAAAGTAAGAGGACACGTAGGTAGCGCATTAAATGTGTTTGTCCTACGATGTCAGCGATAAGGTCATACACTGTAGCTTGCTTTTCACCTCCTGTGTGCCACCGTGGCAACCCCTTTGACATATAAAAGGAGGCCCAAGGCGCACTGAGAGAGGATTCGGACTTTTTGGACTGGGCATGCACCGCAGCTAGTTCAAAAGCTCAAGAACACTAAATATACACACAAGCAGGACTAGGGTTTTACGCACCAGTGCGGCCCGAACCTGGGTAAAAATCCCTCACGTTAATCACTAGACCTACTCTTCGTGCAACTCTCTTCCCGCAAACCGTAGAAGGGATTGTCGTGATCTCATAGGTGTCGTTTCCCCCACACATTGTTTGCTAGTAGTACTTTTCTTAGCTTGCTACTACTGGCAGTTTATATTGCCCGTTGAGGTAAACTGTCGATTTACTTGGCGTCGATCACCGTCACTTTGGCGACTCAGCTCTTATTATATTCCCCCGGACGATACGCAGAAGATCATACAGGAAAACTAACCAGCTTTCATTGAAGAAGATCTACTCTGAACTCTTCTCTCGGGAAAAAAATATACGCAACCATACAGGGTAAAACAATACTCCTACTAACGGTCCAGATCAGTAAAGTGCAGAGCATACGTGAGCAGAATCAGCCGATCACTGAGCTAGACTTTCATTCAGCCAATCTGGGGCAGGATTGTTCAGGTGCTCATACAAACATGTGGGTGCACCAGCGCGGCAATAATTGAACGGGGTCGAGGGAGGCTATAAGTTTTCCCACTGATCGTCATTTCCGCGCCAATAATGGGAGGTCATGTGGCAGGCCGATAAGGACTCACGGCCTTGTTAATGAAAAAGGAAAAAAGGACCTGTTGCTACACCATATTATTGTAGTACAATAATGCGCGCAGGAAATGAAGTTGGGTGACCTCAGCTCTGCTGCTACTGCTAACTGAGAACAGAACGACGAAAGGAAGTTGATGGCTGAGTGTCTGAGTCATTCAGAGACTCTGCTCGTCGTAATTGCCTAATTGGTGATGAAAGATTGATTGCTTGTAGCTTTGTGCTTACAGCAATAGGTACGTACAGTACGCATTATTTGGTCCGTCGCTTCCAAGTGTCTTGTTGTCCCGTACGTCGTCGCTTTCTGTCCATGTTAGTGATATATATACAGTATTGTTTAGGGGTGATTGATCAATCTGTATTTATTTCTGGTTGATTTGATCGGGACTGTTGTTTTGGATTCAAGGCCACGGAGGGAGAATCATGTGCATCCTGTGAAATTACGCCACGGCGAGCATCTTCTTTAGGAAAAAGAACAGCCATGAGGGTCTTACTCTACGACTTTAATTGTACTGTACTTACGAATAATGCACCGGTCGGCAATTGAACTCCGGTGGACCGGTGGCGGAGCACGGCCGGACGGACGGCGGGGCATCTTCGCCGCGGTCCCGTCGTCCGCGTCGACGCACATGAAGACGATGCGGCGCCGGTGGTACCAAGCAGTACAAGATTCGTGCGTGGGATTCCGGGGCCTTGTCTTCTAGGTAGAAGAGCTACGCCGCGTTATCATGCAATGCATAGTTCATTCGTGATTCGTGGGAGGCGAGATCAGATCTCGTAGGCAGCCTATATGGCCGAAACGCACGCACACGGCACAGATGATCGGTACGCGCACTGATTACTCCAAGCCAGCGACCAGCCACGGCCGTTAGGTGCCGGAGAAGAACGGAAAATGCCCTGTTTTGGCAAGCCAAGTTACTTGCACGATTTTTCACAATGGAGGAGGGTGCTTGGATACGTTTTAGTCCCATGACTAAAAGTAGTGGGACTAAAACTTGTTAGCCTCACCTATGCTTGGATATAAATACTAAATAGACTAAAATCGAGTTTATGAGCATTTATTATCCTCCAAACCCTTCAATCCAGAACTCGCATGTGTTAAAGGAGAGGAGTTAAATGAAGAGAGAGATGACTAATCCACATTTTAGTAGGGTTCCCCTGACTAAAAAAATTTAGTCTCAAGACTAGTTCTAGCCTCTCTGTAGTCAGGGGGTGATTGGAACTTTAGCCTCTAAAAAAGACTAGTTTTAGTCAGACTAAAAATAGTCTCTTGGATCCAAGCATGCTCCAAGAGGGTGTTTGGATACTCTCTAGTCATGTGACTAGTAGTAGTCAGACTAGAAGTTTTTAGTCAGGCCATGTTTGGAAGGTGACTACTACTAGTTAGCATTAAATGTCTCAGTATTAAATGTCCCTTGTGCAACACCAATTAGAGGAGAGAGAGGGGGACTTTAGTCAGTAAAAGTCAGGGGTGTTTGGAGGTTTATTGACTGACTAAAGGTGACTACTACTAGTCTCTAGTCAGTAAAAGTTGGGGGTGGGGTGACTAGGGACCACTAGTCAGGGGTGTTTGAAGGTTTACTGACTAAAGGTGACTACTACTAGTCTCTAGTCTCTAGTGATCCAAACACCCTCCAAGTTACTTGCACGATTTTTCGCAATAAATAAATGTAAACTTGCACGGTTGAGTAGTTGTGCGTGGCTGCTGTTCTCGGTTGAGACACCAACGTTCTCTTCTTCTCCGTGAGCTAAACCGGGTTCACGGCACGGCGTCCTCCTCCATGCCTTGTGCAACCCGACGTCTTCTATTTTCTTGCACAGAGTTGACAAGGTAAAAGATTCACCCGTTCATGCCGTCGGTGCGTGCGCGCCTTCTCTGACGACCACAATTTTGTCTGCGCTCGCACGAATTCTTCTTCCATCATACTCCCTCCGTCCGGAATTACTTGTCGTAGAAATGGATGTATCTAGATGTACTTTAGTTCTAGATACATCCATTTCGGAGACAAGTAATTCCGAACGGAGGGAGTAGTACTGTATATACTCCTCGCGCCGGAATTATATGGATTCAGGTCGCCGGTCACCAGATGGCACCACACGTCCTGCTTACGCACTGCACCAAACAGGAAAACAGTTCGCCGATGAGCACATCAAATCCCGACCCGCGCCGGCGGCTGCTCAACACGCTGCCGGAGGCAACCCGGCAGCCCCCTGTCGATCTTCTTCTCTGACTATGGTTTTTTTTTTATGATCACTCTCCGACTATGGTTGACTCGTCGACTCGAGAGCTCTGTGGCGGCGCCGCCGTGGCCGTCTCCCAGGATGGATCTGTACAGGTTTTCGTCCAGGTTCGTTGTACTTCTCCGTTCCGCCCGGCCGTTCTTGCGCCCGAGGCGCGGAAGGTGAGGTTCATGCCGCCGGTCGATGCGCGCGCCCTGTGAGTTGTTGACGATGGAGATTGTTGCCTCAAGTTGGCAAGAATTCTTCTTCCCTTCCACCATATTGTACAGAGCAGGTCCGCCGACCAGGTAGCAGTCACCACCACACTGGCAGTGCCGTGGCATGCCATTGCAAGTTCAAACGCGACCCAACGAAAAGAAAAACCAAATGAATTCGCCACTGGAAGTTTGAAACAAGAAATCTCCGACCACACGCGCCCTCGGCGGCGGCGGCATGCCGTCACCGGCACCGACACGGCGAGGCGACATAACGTTCCAGACCCGGCTCGCACTCGGCAGCTTTTTTCACACTGCCTGAGGCTTCACGGCCGGCTCGAGCCAGTCGTTCCAGAACGCCGCGGCCTCCGGGCCGTGGCCCTTCACGACCTCGACCACGGACACGGTGTCGGCGATCCGGAACACGGTCACCTTGGCGACAATGTCGCCGGCCTCAGCCTCCAGGTACACCGGCCCGGCGCCGCTCTTTCCTTCCCTCCTCACGCGGTGCCCCTGCTTTTTCCCGGCGTCCTCGACCCGGGCCAGCACGGCCGCGGCGGGCTCGCCGACGAACACCCGCTCCGTGCCCGGCCCGGCGCCGAACAGCCCGGAGAGGTCCGAGCCGGGCGAGAAGGCCAGGATGTCGAACGCGGTCATGTCCCGCGCCATGTCCTCCTTGAACTCCGTCTCGAACCACGCCTCCTCCTCGTGCCCGCGCATCAGCTTCTCCAGCTCGCCGTCGCCGCTCGCGCCGTGGCGGAACCAGGGGTGCTCCATGATGCCGTCCGTGTCGATGCGCGTGCCCGGGTTGGGGTCGAGGATGCGGCGTAGCAGGTGGCGGAGCGCCGGCGAGAACCAGTTCGGGCACCGGAACCGGCCGGCGTAGATCTTGCGGTACATGTTGATGAGGCTGGCGTCGTTGAAGGGGAGGTAGCCGGCGGCGAGGACGAAGAGCACCACGCCGCAGGACCAGATGTCGACCTTGGCCGGGTGGTACCCCTGCTTCGAGAGGATCTCCGGCGCAACGTAGGCCGGGGTGCCGCAGAGGGTGTGGTGGAGGCTCTCGTCCGCGACGGCGCCGAGCCCGAAGTCGGCGACCTTGAGGTCGCCGTCGCCGTCGAGCAAGAGGTTCTCCGGCTTGATGTCGCGGTGGTACACGCCGCGGGAGTGGCAGTACCGGACGGCGGACACGAGCTGGCGGAAGTAATGCCGCGCGAGGTCCTCCGTCATGCGGCCGTCGGAGTCGACGAGCGAGAACAGCTCCCCGCCGGCGGCGAGATCGAGGACGAAGTGGACCTTCTTGCGCGTCCCCAGTATCTCGTGCAATCTCACCACGTGGCGGTGGCGCAGGCGGGCGAGGATGGCCGCCTCCCGCTCAATGGCGGCGGACCCGGCGGAGCCCTCGCCGTCGCGCGCGCCGGACCGCGGGTTGGGGAAGGACTTGATGGCCACGTCCCTGCCCGTGAGGAGGTCCCTGGCCCGGTACACCTTGGCGGAGGCGCCGCGGCCGAGGAGCCCGCCCAGCTCGTACCTCCCGAGCAGGACCTTCGGGGCGGCGAGGGATTGGGATTCGTCTGCCGGCGCCACGGCGGATGGGACGGCGCTGGAGGCGGACGGCATCGTGGCGGCGGGGTATGCTCTGTCGCCGCCGTCGCAGTGTGCGGTCGTGACTGTGGGGTAGTAATTTTCCCCGGCTGGATCGGCGGCCGGAAAAGAGATTGGGGATCGCTCGGTCGGTCGCTCCCGTGCTCCGGCCGGAGAGTTCTCTCGGGGGTTGAGGTTGGTATGGATTCTGCTGCGCTCTGGTTCTGGAGTTGAAGACGATCTGGGGCGCCACCGGGGGAGCTATTTATGCGGGGCTGCGGGGGAGGAGCCGCGGGCCCACGGTCAGTATGACCGGTGGGGCCCGCGTGTTGTGGTGTTTAACTGCTGCCGCTGTGGCAGCGGCCGGGAAGTTTCCTCTTAACACGACGCGCTGCTCATTAATTATGGTTCCGATTCTCTTATATTTTCAGAGATTTTATTTGTATTAAAACAAATTATTGTTGCATGCATGGTACGGTTTGGACGTACGGTACAACGACAGCTACCGTGTGCTGTTGCTGTTCGGAGTGAATGGCGAGGAGTTTTGGACCGTCGGGTTTTAGTGGTTGGGGAGGATGATACAGTCAGGGCTTTGAAGAGGGCTGGATTGAAGTGGTAGTGAGATGATTGTGTTTGGGTTTGATGAATGTTCTCATTTGTGAGGTGGTGGTGCATGTTTGAGGATGAATGAGAATTTTGATCTTTGAAGATCACGGTCTTAGATTTTAACTCCGCGATTTCTTTGAGATTCTTCCATGTGTAAGGTGGGAATGGTGACACCGCAGGTTGGCAACGGCATGGGAGGCTAGAATGTTCCGAGGGTCCGAGGCGGAGGTGGTGACACCGCAGAATCGCGTCGAGACGAATAGGAGAAGGAAGGTTCGTGCATCGACGATTAGAGTCTAGGGTGAAGCCGTGCATCAATCTGAGAAAAGATATTTTCTGCCCATCACAGTGGAGGTTTTGACACTGTGATTCTCTCTCGAGTAAGGAAGCAAATAACGACAACGTGGGGCGGCAGCGAAGTCGGAGGGGATGGAGGTGATGACAATGTGGAATGACGTCGATGAAGGATAGGAGACGGGAGGTCCGTGCATCGATGGCTAAGAGTTTAGGGCGAGGCATCGGCCCCAAAGAATGGATATCGTGCCCCCTAGTCTTAGAGTGGTGGTCAGGGTCTGTGACAGTACTGGCGACGATGGCGGTTTGGTCAGGGCTGGGTGGCGAGACGACGTAGTAGCAACGACGGTCGCGAGTAGTGAAGACAAACAATTTCACGAATTAGGTTGGTCGGGGGAAGGAAATGATTGTATGAAGAAGAAACACAGTGACCACAAAATCTAATGATAGTGCTGAAAAAGCTATTACCTTTGTCCATATTTGCTTGAATTAGATTTATCTGGATACAATATCTAGACACGTAAACAATTTCATGAATTAGACTTGTCTATATACATTGGATGTATCTAGACACACAGATGTATGTTGTATCTTCGAGTCTAAATACACCGGTGCCGTATCTTCGTGTCTAGATACATTCCTAGCTACACAAATCTAAAACAATTAATTCGGGATGAAGGCAATATGCTTTATTAAGGAATGAACATACAACTATGTTCAAGGTAGCTATGTATCTTTATATATAATGATTGTACCTTTCCCAAAGTGTAAATAATGGTGGTACTAGCAGATGCTAAAACGGGCCATGTTTTCGTGTAGCTGGAACAACCACAACACCATACCAAACAAGCCAGAAAAAAACATTTAAATGGAGCCTTTTATCTGGTGCCGAAAATACCTATACTTTCCAGCTTTAATCTTCGTTGGCACACCAAATTTTCGCAACAAACAACCATATCTAATCTAACAATTGAAAGAAAACAACAGCTATATCTCAAAGTGCATCCATCCGAACATGACGTTCAAAAGGAATATGCTAATCGCATTGCAGAAATGCTGGTACGGGCAAACGGAGGCCACAGCCCTGCGGCGACGCACAGATTCGTCCAATATCTCCGCGTCGCAGAGCACATGGCAGGGCACGGACTTTGGACGGAGATTTCTGCTGCTCCGCTCCGTATCTTTCCCTGTCTTTGCTTCAAGCAAAGCTCTCTGGATGGATATCTCGCACTGACCGCGAAATACACTCCACGCATTGCCGCAGCCCGGCCCTGCACACGCGCCTCTCGAAGACGTGTTTGCGCTTTGCGCCACGCGTCGCGTACACGGAGGCATCTCCGTCGTTGCGTGTTTGTGGCCTGAGCATTTTTTGGTTTTTCAGGTTTCGCCGAGGCCGTGCCGGTCCAGCAAGAGTAGTCACAATAATTTGTGCTGTGCGGTTATTTGCGGCTCCGAGCCGAACGTAACAGGGATGTGCGACCCGTGTGACAGGTTTGTCCGCGCACGTTACCGGAAAACGGGCGCTGCGTCGTCCCGATGCCAGACCACGTGCTACGTACGCGTTGGGTCAATTGTGCACCCCTCCAGTTGGGGAAAGACTTGGACGTTTCGTCAAATCGGACGGGCTTACTTATTTAAGCTGCCTTGGTTTGATCACTGTAGAATGTTACAGTTGTTGCTGGCAAGAATTTGAAGTAATAACTCGTTAAAAAGGGAACTGTGGTTGTCCTTGACAGCCGACAAGCAGCAGTCGTTACGCTGCTGGCGACCGGTTGCGCTGCACGGCAGAGAGATATAGTACGAAAATGCGTACGTGCAGGGCTAGCTCCGGCGGCGTGAGCGTGAGCGTGCACCGCAGAGATATAGTATACGTATGGTTACTTTCAAAGAGTTTTGAACGACTTGCCGTTGCATGGTACGGTCTAGAGTGGATCACGTACGGTACAACGACCGCTACCGTGTGCTGTTGCTGTTCGGATTGAATGGCGAGGTGTTTTGGACGGTCGAGCAGGTGGTGGACAAGGAAGGTACAGCCAAGTCTTCTAAGCTTGAAGGATAGTGAGCTGGTCGTGTTTGGGTTTGATGCATACTCTCACTTGTGAGTTAGTGGTGCAGGTTGTTTTGGATGAAGGAGAATTTAGATCATCACATATCATGGTCGAGTTTTTAACTCCGCGATTTCTTTGAGATTCTTCCATGAGTAAAGTGGGAATGGTGACAACACAGGTCAACTGCTTTGGTCTGAGGCGGAGGTGGTGACACCGCATAATCGTGTCGATGACGAATAGGAGAAGGAAGGTTCGTGCATCGATGGCCAGGGTCTAGGGTGAAGCCCGTGCATCAATCAGAGAAATGATACCTTTGCAGATCACAGTCGAGTTTTAACGACGCAATCTCTTTGAGATTCTCTCTCAAGTAGGAGCAAGGAGGAAACGGTGACAACATGGGGCGGCACCAAAGTCGGAGGCTACAATAGGTCGATATCGATGCGATGGCAATGCGGAATTGCATCGATGATGTACACGAGATGGGAGGTCCATGCATCAACGGCTAAAACTTTAGGGTGAGGCACCGGTTCCGAAGAGTGGATATTGTGCCATCCTAGGGTTAGAGTGGTGATCAGGGTCCACAGCAGTACTAGCGATGGTGGTGGTTTGGTCAAACAATTTCACGAATTAGGTTGGCTAGAAAAAATAAATTGTTGCATGGAAAAGAAACATGGTGATTCCCTCCATCCCAAATTACTTCTTGCCTAAACAGATGTATCTAGTCTAGATACATCTGTTTGAGCATCGGTAATATGGATCGAAGGGGAGTATAAGTAATTTGTGACGGAGGATGTAGAAAATCTAGTGATAGTGCTGAAAAAGCTATGTTTCAGAAAGAGAAACATACAACTATGTTCAAGGTAGCTTAGTATTATAAATAATACTTGTACCTTTCCCAAAGTGCAACTAATGGTGGTACTACAGCTGCTAAAACTGGCCATGTTTTCGTGTACTTTGTTTTTCTTTTGAGGGGAACAGTTTTCGTGTAGTTAGAACAACCCCAACAGCATATACCAAACAAGCCAGAAAAAACATTTAAATGAAGCCTTTTATTTGGTGCTGGAAATACCTACTTTCCAGCTTTAATCTTCGCTGGCACACCACATTTTCGCAACGAACAACCAGTATATCTTATACACAATAAATAAAGGAAAACAACAAGTGCATATCTCAAAGTACATCCATCCGAATATGACGCTCAAAAGGAATATACTAATCGCGTTGCAGATATGCTGGTACGGCCAAACGGAGGCCACCGCTGACAGCCCTACCGCGACGAACAGATTCGGCCAACGTCTCCGCGTCGCAGAGCACCGGACACGGATGAAAACTCGTGGCGAGACGCGGCGCGAGCATCACGTCGTCGCTCGCTTCCGGCGAAAGATTTCTGCTCCGCTCCGTATCTCTCCCTGTCTCTGCTTCAAGCAAAGCTCTCAGCTCTTTGACGAAACTGGCCGCGAAATCCACTCCACACGCAGTGCACACCCTCTCGGAGACGTACTGGCGTGTGTTTGCGCTTTGCGCCACGCGTCGCGTACCCGGAGGCATGTCCACCGTTTCGAGTCGGTGGCCTGGGCATTTTGGTTTTTTCAAATTTCGCCGAGGTCGAGCCGGTCCAGCAAGAGTAATCACAAAATTTTGTGTTGTGCGGTTATTTCCAGCTCGTAGCCGAAGCGAAACAGGGACGGTCGACCGTAACAGATTTGTCCGTGCAAGTTACCGGAAAACGGGCGCTGCGTCGTCCCGATGCCAGACCACGTGGAACGCGTTGGGTCAATTGTGCAACCCTCCGACAATTGGGGAAAGACTTTGGACGTTTTACTGCTCCGGTCTAGCTGGGGTTTCGTCAAATCAGACGGCCTTAGAGCATCTACAACCCAGCCGGACTCGACAAATCTGGGCACTCAAATGCGCACGCGGTTGCGTCAGGACTCGTCCGTGCACAGTGACTGGGCATCGAATCGCGTCATCCACATCCGTGTCACTTATATCCGAGCCCCCATCATATTATAGCATGCAACTTCAATCGTACTACGTAGATTATCTTCGGACATAGAAATTGCACAATATTCTCCAAAAGATTCACCG